CCCCCGCCGTACATGAAACGCCGCCGGTTGACGCCCGAGCCCAAGGTCGATCCCTCGCCGCCGAGGCCGATTCCGATCGCGGCCTCGAGCGCGTCTGCACCCAACTCCTCACGGTGAGCCTCCGCCTCCTCGAGCTGCTCCATCGCCTCCATGTAGCCGCTCGTCCGTCGTTTGACAGGTGGGGGTTGTTCTAACCACGGCGCCATATCCGGCGAACTCGAGGAGCGTCGGCGAGAATGTTCAGACATTGTGTACTGACGACCTCTGGACACTGGCCTGGAGGAGGTACCCGGGTGGCCGACGAGCCTCACCTCTGCTGCCACATCCGGCGAAGAGAAGGAAGGCCCCAGCCACTCTGCCAGGGGCCCCTCCACTCGCCTGCACCTGCTCGAACCCTGAGCACTGTGCGGCGTTGCACGCTCGAGGTCGTGCATGATGTAGTAATCATTGTCTTGAGTAATGCGCTTCTCTCGACCGAGAGCGCTAGCCTCTACCCCTTCGGTCCGTCGAATCTCGGCGCGGCAGATGCGACGCCGAGGACGACTGTCCCTGACGGCGAACCTCAGTTACGAGCCGCCCTCCCCTCGAGACGCGAGGCCAGTGCACTTGGGGCCAAGCCCCACAGCGTACACCGTCCCACACGCCTCACGCGGCCTCTGGCTGGAGCGGGATCGCAAGCGAGTCCCCCAGGCCGGCGCGCGTCTTCCGAGAGAGGAGCCGGAGCGAGGGACCTCCTTAGTAAGCCGGCATGCAGGCGCAGGCGCGGCCGTTCAGAAACTTTCCCAGCCGTTGGAATGGCTGCGCTCCCGCCCCTCACCGGGCCGCGAACGGGTAGTAGACGTTGGTGCCGAGGAGGGAGGAGTCGCCGAAGGACGGGTAGTCGTCGGTCATGCGGGGGGAGGAGGAGTCGGCGAGCAGCAGGGAGGAGAAATGCCTGAGAGGGTGGGGAGGGAGGCGTGAGGCGCAAGGTGAGGGGGCGCGGGGCGCGGGGCGTGCGTGGGACGCGCGGCGTGAGGCGCAGGGCGTTGGGCGGGAGGGCGCGGGGCGCTCGAGGTTGGGGCAGGGTGTGTTTTGTGTGTCTGTATGTGTGTCTGTATGTGTCTGTGTGTGTGTGTTTGTTTGTTTGTTTGTGCGAGGGCTAGGCGGGGCAGGGCAGGGCGGCGGCGAGCGGCGAGCGGCGTCGGCGAGATCGGCGATGAAGAGAGGCGATGGTGACGTACACGGCGGCAGTGTTCACGGCAGCAGCGCCGGTGGCGGCCCCGCGCAGCGGTGGCGGCCGCCCTGAGTGAGGAAGACTGCCCTGCACAGCCTG